AATCAAAAATAGTGGCTTTGTGCATGTTACTAGTCTCCCGCCTACCTCATGGAAGCTAAGGGTACAGAAAGGGATGGGACTGGTGTTTGTTACACACAGATAAGCTTTTTTTTGTTATTATGGAATAGGCATGTCAACTTTCTGCTGGTAATACACAGTGAAGGAGTTGACTTTAAAACCATGCTCTTGTGCTTAGGAGGATTTATAATAGCATGGAAAGACAATAGAATTGTTTGCAAATAAGTTGTTACTTTCCTTTTAAAAAAATAAAATAAAGGTCTGACTGCTAAAATAACTCAATTCTAGTGTTTAAACTCACAATTCAGTTCTTGCAGCCCAAAGGACTCAAATATTTATGGGAAGCTGTTGGAAGTAGATTCCTGTTCAGTTAAACCAGAGGTGAAAACAGTTACCAGAACTTGGATATCAAACCTCTTCAGCTGGAGAAGTATTTTTTAAAAAAATAAATTGTTGCACTGACCTATATACTGAAGTCTTAGTTCTGTGTCAGTGTATCAGGTTATAGCTGTGTCTATAGCTGTGAGGTTAATGATCGAGTTATTGTTTACTTCTGTGAGACAAAGCTAGTTTCCATCAGCAATTATAAATCTGAAGTTTCACGATAATAATATTCTCTTTAGAGATGAAAACAAGACTGATCTTAACTGTCATTGTGTGACAGTGCAAGCACAAGCCCAACTTTATTGATAACTGTAATTGCTCCCGTGCAGAATAGCTCCTGACAAGGGTAGGGTAGGAAGCCTGACCAGTTGAACATTGGGAACTCAGCTGGCATCATGCCAGGCTCACTAGAGTGCTCTCTGCTGCTGTCCCTGTGAAGCTCTGGAAAGCTTTACAACGCTGATGGTGGCACTGGCATTGCAGGGAGCAGCAACAGGGATCAGAAAGATGACAGACATTCCATAGCTGGAGGATGAGGAGCTGAACCCGGTACAATGTGAATTGCCATCTGTCTCCTTCTCAGCTCAGGCACCACTACTAAAGGTACAGAAGCCACGGCTGTATCACAAGCTGTGCCTTATGCAGACTGTCAGTAAAACGTCTTTTATGGTATTTTCCTGGGTATGTTCATCATTTTGGTGTGATATTTACTACGTTATTGTCCTGGTTTCAGCTGGGATAATTTTCTTCCTAGTAGCTGGTATAGTGTCATGTTTTGGATTTAGGATGAGAATAGTGTTGATAACACATTGATGTTTTAGTTGTTGCTGAGCAGTGCTCACACTAAGTCAAGGACTTTTCAGCTTCTCGTACTGCCTTGCCAGCGAGGAGGCTGGGAGGGGATACAGCCAGGACAGCTGACCCAAACTGGCCAAAGGGATATTCCATGCCATATGACATCATGCTGAACAATAAAACTGGAGGAGCTGGCCAGGGGGTGGCAGCTCACTGCTCAGGGACTGGCTGGGCATCAGTCAGCGGGTGGTGAGCAATTGTTATGCGCATCAGTTGTTTTGTATGTTCTTTTATCATTATTATTTTTTCCCTTCCTTTTTCTGTCCTCTTAAACTGTCTTTATCTCAACCCACAAGTTTTACCTTTTTTCCGATTATCTCCCCCATCCCACTGGGGGGAGTGAGGGAACAGCTGTGTGGTGTTTAGCTGCGTGCCGGGTTGTATCGTCGTTTTATGCTTGTCTTCCTGCTTTATACATAGATTCTGAAGATTTTGTGTTAATAAGCATTTTTAAAACTCGTCTGGAGGTTCCTTCTGTAATCTTGCAGTTGTTTTTTGTGTTGGGGCACTGAAAAAAAGACAGGATGCAGAAATAAAAACTTTGGGAAAAGGGATAAAGCTGAAGTGTCATCTCAAAATGGTGGTGGAGTGGCCAGGAAGATGGAATAATTCATCTCCTAACTTAATCACTGGCCAAGTCTTGTGAATGAAAAATAGAGTATGGCAAAATTATGCACAACAGCAATCTACTACTTATGTTTTAGGAAAACCTATCACTCAGGTGGTCAATTATGCTGTTCAATAAACTTATGCTTTGAAAATAGTGCCAATCTCCCTGCATATTTCTTGTTAAGCAGTTAAGAATGGAGTGTGTGGTTCTGGGGAAAAAAAACAAACCACCACCAAAATATCTTGCCCTTACAATTAAATTGCAGCCAGAAGGTTTTAAGAGGTGTCTCTCGTCAATGATAGAAGACAAGGTGACAAAATGGTGGTATTGCTTAAAGCTGCTTTGTGTTTAAAAAATAAAACAGTATGCTTATTTCAAACAAGGTTATTTCTCCAGTGATACCTGTGTTTTTAAGTAGAGCACATGAAGGATGTAGCTCTATCTCTGCCAGCATTGCTTTTCTACAGGTGAAATCAGTCAAATGATGGTAGGATGATAGTAGAACCATCTTTTTTTTTTAGGTTTTCACATTGACACTGTAGAACTGTTTTGGTGCTTAAGGACATAGTATAGTTACAGACAGTATCTCCAGACCACTACCTTCAAAGAGCTGCTAGTGTAAACACTTACCCTTCACTGAGTACTAGGCTGTAGAGGTCTGTAGAGCCACCTCTCTGCTCTCTGAATGTGTGTGTCTGTCCCACAAGCTCAGTACTGTTGACAAAAGTTTTAGATTGGACTTTCATCTCCAGCTCCCAAGTATTGAATTTTCATTCAGATATTAATGAACATCCCAAAGGTTAAAAGCAACAAACTTAAATATGTTTTCTTTTTTTCCTTAGCTTCTGGCTAGTGTCCTGCTCCTTACATAACAGCCGAAAAACTTTTTTGTTACCTAGTAGTAGTGTGTAATTGCTGTACTAGTAAGTGTTTGGCAGCTCAGAAGCCTGGAAGTACACAAAAAAGTGAACCTTACTGTAAAGTCAGCTATTGATTTTCCAAAAAGGGAATTTATTTCTAGCACACCTTCTGCTGTTCTGAATAGTGCTACATTATGATAGGGCAGAGGAACGTTAATAAAAGACTTTTGGGGGGGAGGTGTGGTGTCTTAAGCCTATATCAGTTGTTGCTTCTTTAGTCACACTACCGTGCTTTTAGAGGATGTAAAAAAAGGTTCATTTGGGTTTTGTTAGATGTATTTGGATTTTCTTTCAATTTGCTGTTAAATATTGAAACTTAAGTTAGGTAAAGGATTTAAGTCACCCATATCATTTATCAAAATGAAATAGTAAAGCATAAAGGCATCTAATTCAATACTGCAAAAAAATTGCAAATACCACTGATTTTACTTTGCTGTTTAAGAAGAATGAACAGTACCATTTTATTCTCAGTCCTCCATCCTCCCTCTCTCAGGAGAGTGGAATACTGGTGCCGTTTCTCTAAACGGGCAGTTCCTTAACTATTTGATAGGATACAAAATGTAACCCCCGCAGAAACTGCTTAATAACAGATCTTTTGCAGTGGCATATCTGATTTGTATGAAACAGTGCAGTAATTGGGTTCGTGGGTACAGTCAGAGTAAACTTTAAATGAAAGTGACAGTAGCTAGTCCAGACTTTTTTTTCATTTTGTTCAGGGTAAAACTATTAGACAGTAAGTGACTTACTGGTTTTATTGCTTTCAATTAGCAACCCAATTTTATACTCTTTTAATTATCATTTAATTGGATTGCCCCTTTACACTCAGAGCCTGGCAGCCAAACAAGCTGATTTAGTATTTGGCACAACAATACTGATTCAGTATTTGGTGAAAATTTCTTCCATAAATCTTTCTCCAGAGGATATGTTACTGCCAGCGTAGAAACTCTTCTCTGGAAGTGGCAAATCTGCTTTAATATCTCCTTTCTAGCCTCTAAATTTGCACCCCCTCATTTGTGCCCAGCTCTTTAATCTCCACTATTTGAGTGGTTGTTATAAACTAGGGGGCTGAAGCCTCCAAAGTAAAGCTTTAGTGTAAAATGTAACCAGATAGGACATACGAACAGTTCTTAAATTAGATTAAAAAATGTAATGTTGGTATATGTGTAAGTTGCTTAGGGAAGTGTGTAAGTTGTCCCTGTAACTGTTCCAAGAGATTAATTGCCATGTCCTTGCATGTTCTTAGTGGAGGGGGAATTAGTGTTGTAAAGTGACCTTTGGGAATAAACTGGAGGACAAGGGAGTGGTTGGTGTGATGCTTTTAAAAAGGGACAAGAAGGGAGAGAGGAAGATAAGAGTCAATGGTTTTAGAAGAAGTAGGACACTGAAGCCTTGCTGGGCTGGGAGAAGAGGCCCTTCCTCAGCTGTCAGCTGCAGCCCTCTCCCCTCCTCTGGCAGAAAGAGGGGGATGGAAAGCACAGCAAAAAAAAAAAAAACGAGGAGGAAATAGGAAGGACGTGTTGCTCTCCCATTACTAGTCCCGGATTCAAGATGTGTTTTAACATCATCCTCTCTGGAGCTGATTGCATGTGTGGCCTTACAAAAACCCATCCACCGTCTGATGGCTGGGCTTCTTTTTTTGTCAGCTTCTGGCTCGTCTATAAACTGTTTCGGGAATGGGGAGGGAGGGCTGTTTATACTGACATTAAATCAGTTAGTAGAGGAATCTCTTTTTTTAACCTTCTCTTGTAATCCTCAGGGTTAAATGTTTTCAGCTCATAGTTCAGTTGTGGTTATTTGTAGCTGGCATTCACATTTGCTCTGTAATTCAATTTAGATGATGCTGCTTGGCCCAAATTAGAGCAGACTAGTAGAAGGAGCTTGGTGTGTATAGAAACTGCTCACTAACTCTAAGGTCTTCCAAGTAGAGTTGTAAATATTTCCACTCATTTTTAAGGTACAGTTATCTGGCTTGAAGTCACTTGTGGAACTGTGATTTATACTGTCAGATCTTACTTGTCAGATTTCTCAACTATTGAAAATGCTGAGTAACAACCTTATTGTCATCACAAAAATACTGTAATATTCTCATTAATTCATGTGGTTTCAGTTCCAGCTGTGTGCCAGTTATTTATTTGAGTCTGTTTTCTGAATAGCTTCCAGCTACACATTCTTCGGAGAGATGAGATTTTATTCATACATGTATCTACTTATAGGTGAGGAATTTGAAACTGGAGCATGAGCAGGAGAAAAACAAGATCTTGTCAGAAGCATTAGAGACACTAGCTACCGAACACCATGAACTAGAGCAGTCACTGGTTAAGGGATCTCCGCCTCTCAGCATCATCAGTGAAGAGCAATTCTATGATGCTGTTTCAGGTAAGTAATGACGTCCAGAACATGAGTGTGTAGCCAGCACATGTGTGGTGAATGCATTGTGGGGGTGGGAACAGTCTCACTTTAAGTGAAAAATCTCTGCCTTTCTAACATGGAACTAATTTTAGGAGAATGCTTCATGTGCTTTATGAGCGGGCCTCTAAAATTTTACCTGAGTTCACCTGCAGAATTGTATTGTTTCACCTTAGCATGACAAAAAGTTACAAAACCATAGGGCAATCATGAAAGGTCTGATTGCTTGCATGTCTACGCCCTTTTTTTAAATAGCGAAACTTAAGGTTCCTATTTTAGGAGGTGTAACTGTATCTGGTAGTCTTCTGACTTGCTTTCTCCATGGTGGTGTAATGTTTTTTCTTTTGTTTTGTTGTTAAGATCAGTCCATAAAAATCACTAGTTTTGAGGGATAATGAGCTTAAGAAAGGCTTGTTCCATTTCACTTTTGTATACCTTAAGTGTTACAGGTGGAAGAAAAGGATGAATTGAAATCCTCTGTGCATTTCTGAAATATCTTTTCTTTCCCTGTCTGCTCTTCAGTTTAGTATCTTTCATATTTTCATGTGCAGAACATGCAAATAGTGATTTTTTTAAAAACTGAGCTGCGTAAGATGATTACAACATGCATTTGTATAGAGAGGCTGTACATAGTGCAGCTCAGTAATAGCTCTAACTGGATGGTCAGGTAGACAGCGCACAGCTGTCTACAGCTAGGAAGGATCTAGAAGAGCTTGAGGGCAAACATAGTCTAACTGTAGCAGTTAATTAGGTTGTGATGGCATACTTCACAAGGTAGTATAGGGGCACTTTTTCTGTGAGCTGAACTGTCTGATGCTTCTGACGAATGAGAAAAGCTGTGTTCCCAGACTCCTTGATAGGTGCTCTGCAGTGCACAACTTAAGCAGAGAATAAAAACAGGGAAAGTGGAGTCTGTGATCAAGTATAGTGCTAGCATAGGAACGCAGCAAATCAACAGCAGACGTGGCTGCTTGGCACAGTAACAAATTTATCAAGCCTTCAAGGAGGAGAAGAGATTGAGGAACACTAGAAACAGGTTCTTCAACCAGAACCAAAAGAACAATTCTGCTGAAAGGCCTCAGGCTCTTTTGCTTGTCGCAACAAAGCAGAGAATAGTTGTTTATCTGGTGCTGCTGGAATGTAGTCTCTCCAGCAAGGCTTGCTTTGTGTGTATGAGAGAATACTCAGCTTTAAAGAGCTGTTAGTCTGTACACCTACATCTCATAACTGACGTGGTCTCTAAATCATCTTGAATGAAAGCGTCCAAAGCCTCCTCTGTAGATGGGAGAGATGGCCTTTTTGTCACTTGAAGCTGCAAACAAATTACATCGAGTGTATTTGTATAACTGTGAAATTTATTGACCATATATATCTGTGTACGTGTGTATATATATATGAAAAACATATATGTCAATTCTCTCTCCTTTTGGAGAAGTTATCTGACATATTTAAATTGCAATCAAGACTCACTTTCGTGACTGGCAACTTCATCGGACTTGTGTTAGATTTTCTTCTCTAGGATGTTCACATTCAGTGCTTTGCAGTGATTAGGGTCCTTTCTGTCTCTGAAGGCATGTGTTTGGGGGAAAGGCACGCTGATTTTTTGGGGGGCTACTGAAGGGGAATTGTGATGTGTTTTCCTGGCTGCTGGATGCATGTTATGACTTTCACTGTAAGCACAAAAGGAATTAGTTTTTTGCAGGTGTGGTTTGGGGTGGGGTTTTTTTGCTAATGACTGGGATCCTGGTAATACTTTCTAACCCTCTTGTTTTTCTGCCACGTCTGTGGAGTCTCAAGTAGGAGGCTTCTTGTCTCTGTATGACAAGAATACAGTGGGAGCAGAGGAGTCGGGGATGTATGACACTGGCTCAGAGTTGGGGAATGTAGGTTGTCTTCCCTGAGCTAATGAGACAGGTGAGATGATGATAAATATTTTCATAACAGAGAGCAGTGGCTAGGCCTAATTGTCAGAAACTAAAAATTTATACCTCCAGAAATCTAAACTACTAGGACTTCATCCTCAAAGCTTTTGCTAAACCTGATTTGCAGACCTATAATTTAAGTTAAATGATACTGATTTTTTTGATAGACATATTCATGAATTATCTTACTATGCTGTATAGGAGATTGAGCAAACACCAATGTATTTTAACAGGGTGATGTGACAAGTTATAATGTCTGTCAGTGGAAAAATGCCACTACTTGACAGTATTTTTTCTATTAGGATACCATCTTTTTCTAGTTAGGGTTCTCTGAATTTTTAAATCTCCACCGTAGGAGTGAATTTAGAAGTGAGAGTATTGCATAACTAGGCTTGCTCTTTGAGCTGAAGAATCGTTGGCTTTGACTTGACAGGTTGAAAGAAGAAGCCACTGCTGCTTTTTTGTTTTTTTAAGAGAATATTGTCTGCATATTAGACACTTCTGCTCATTTACCATCAACAAAAGTATTACTAGCTGTGACAATTCAGAGCAATGCAAGACTTTTCAAAGAGGTTTTTTTGAACAAGTGTATTAGAAGGGATATGTTCACAGCAGCAGCTACTTGTCCCCATTCACCATGCTCTGATTCACATTGTAGAGCAATCTGCATGAACCAGACTCCTGAATGAAGCTGAATCAGAAGATACAGTCCAGTTGCTATTGGACACTCAGTCCGTGGTAGGAGAGTAGAGCTCATCTGAAGAGAACACCACCAGAAATTTATCTAGTTCAAGTGTCAAGTCCTCCGCACCATCTGTTTGGCCTGAAAATCTGCTCCAACTGAGCTGTACTACCTGCTAATGTTGGCATAGACTAAATTGGTCACTGATAAATCTGTGTTGTGTAGTTCTGTTTGTAGAAATTGTGGGCACAATTACAGAAATATCCTCTTTCTTTTACAAACATTTTCCTCATCCTGGTTTTGGAATGCGGTAAGATTGCATACTGTAGTAGTAGTTTATTTGCTGAAGTCTCCCTTTTTAAGTGATATGCTGTTATCAATGCTTTCTGACCATTGCGCTGATTCCTAAATTCTGCAGTGGGAGAGGAGTAGACACTGAACATGAAAAGAAGAACCTACAGGAAATGAGAGTTATTTGTGTTACCAAAGCATGATATCCAGTGTTAAAAACAGCAAAGTTAAGAGTGTTATTAACCTATACTCTGATAGCAATAGGTCAGTTAACAGTGCATCCCAGTGCACTGATCCCCTCATCATGGGAGTGGTGGAAATGTGTAATTAAACTCGATAGCCCATGGAGTGCTGGAGCTCTCTGTTTCAGGATTGAATGCTTAACCTGTGTCAAACTCTTCTATGTTTAAAGTAGGGTGGGGCGGAGGGCAGGGCGGCTTGGTGAAGGGAAGAAGCACTAAACGAGTAGCTAAGTTTAATAAGACCAACGGCATCTCCTAGAGAACTGGAGAAGTTACTAGCTTTGATTAAGTATACAGACCTCAGGAAGCATATGAAAACAGAATACAAATGCAGAGTCCATCCACAACACTGAAAAATGGCTAAGCAGGTCAGGAATTAAAGGGTGAAGGTACTTGATTTTTGCCTTGCAGATAAGATTCCCTGATTATATGCAAATTGCACACCCAATTTGGGAAGAGCATAGAACTGTCCTGATTTCCCTCTCTGAGAGGTGGGGGTTTTCTGCAAACACAGCTTTTGTGTGTGTTGAGGGGGGTATTATGATTTTACATAGATGCGATCTTACTAAAAAAGCAGTTACTTAGCTACAGGAATATTTAGATTATTACTAAAGCTAACTTGTCATAGTACAGCTTCAACTGTTATGTGCCACTAATGGGTGCTGTGTTTATAAATAGTGCTCCTAAATGGTACAAGTAGTAGTAGACTAGTTCTGTTGCTTTTGCTCACTTCCTAATTAGGTCTCCAGGTACCAACTCACTTAAAAGTAAAAATTGTACAAAAAAGCATAGAAACTTACTGCCTTTTCCTTCCATGTTTATGGTTGTTTGTCAAGTGGCTTTTTTTTTGAACGTGTACCAAAAATATTCCACAACCTCTGTGTGACCACTGCTGACTGTGGACTTGCCTTGAATTTAGTTAAAAAAATGAATTCAAGTATCAGAGAGGGATGGGAAATGCTTGGTCAGAATTAAAACCCAACCTTGCCAGTGGTTAAACACTGCCTTTCTCAGGTGTATTTATTAATCGGATACATTGGCCAAACTTTTCTGTCTGGAACTGAAGACTTAGCAGTTGTTGCAATAGGAGATGAACTTCCCTTGAGTTAAGTTTCTGTCATTGCTTCTGCTGTTTCCCCTTGCTCTCCCACTCTTCTGAAGTGTAGCTGGTGTTTTTACTGTTACCCTGACACTTCAGGTTTCATGAGCTGGAGTGCTTCCTAGTCAGCCTGGTCTTGTCTCAAAGTTCACTTAAAAATTTTGGCTTCCAAACAGGGACTCTTATTTCTTCTCCTCCTTCCTCAGCCCACACCCCCTTAAGTTCAATAGAAAAAAAATCTCATTTTCTCCTAGTCATCTGTTTGACAGCTGCTCTGTAGCAACTTGTGAATATAAATCTTTTTTTGCAGTGACGGGGGAGTATGCAAATCTTAATTCAGAAGAGATTTAGCTGCAAGTACACAGGAGAAAGCTCAGTTTGAGTTGCCTGTTGATCTGTGCTCACAATACAATACTAGGCTTGTTCACTCTGACACCTAAACAAACTCTCAAGGCTTGTTAAGCTCGTTAGGTCAAAGGAGGTAGCTGAGGCTTAGGGATTGGAAATTGAGACCTTTGAGAGCCATTTCTCAGGAAAATGGGAGAGATTTCTCTAGAGAACAATTTCTTATAGGAGCGTCTGGTTTCATTCTTACGGTGTTCTTTATTGTATAGCATGCTCTTGTTGTATTAAGTAAGGCACGTGCCCTGGAGAAGGCTGGGTCATCAGTGTCTACAGGTCTGGAGAGGTTTGCAGGTGCTGAGTTCAGTCCAGCATAATTGTCTCTGGCACTGTAAGGCCAGCATTAGGAGAACTAATGGTGTAGCATTTAAAAATCCTTGTTATACTGAGAAGCGTATTGGAGAGTGGTCAACGGTTCTGGTGAAGCTTTCCTATTCTTCCCTTTCCACCTCTGGAGTCCTAGGTCTGTTGCAGAAACTCAAATTGAGGGAATTTGTGTGTTGTGATTCATCTGAAAACAAGACAGTCCCAGATGGTATGGGAGAAGCAAGGAGCCTTGCAGGAGGCAGATTCTTTGCTTTATGTTACTGGGTTTGCTTCATGCGTTTCTTGTCACGATAACCATTGGCACAGTTGAGCAGCTCTTTCAATAGAGAAGTAGAATACTTACCTTGAAGGGATTTATAGCTTGTCATGTGGTCACGGTGCTGAGGCCCAAGTTGTGTTACACTGCTAGAGTGTCTGTTCCTCTGTGATATTTGGATACACAACAGTGTTTTCCTGACTACCTGGGCTTAAGATCTCTGGAGAAATCTGTATTTTATGTAAGGGACTTGTCCACAAGTAAAAATGGTTCTCCTTATCCTACTTGTTATATATAGTACCCACCAAACTAATGCTTTGATACATTATATCATAATTTGGCACAGAACTAGACTGACAAATTTGGGGAAACTTGTGAGAAGATTCTCTGGAGTGCCAGTCCACTTTTTTAACATACCCTCAGCACCAGCTGGCAGTTCTTTTCATTCCCTAGCAACTGGCTTAATTTCAGTACCGTTTTGTCAAGGATAGGGATGGATGTTTTCAATGAAAGGAAAGATCTCCTTTATGCTTCTAGATCTCACTCTCTCTAGAGAGGATGGAGACGTTGTAGCACAGCCCATCCATTCATCAGGATTTTGTCTGTTCTTGACCCTTCTGTTAACTGGATGTAGTGGAAAGTCCTCTTGTCACTGTCCCCTTCATCAAAGCAACATATAGCTTACATGTTCTAGAGAAGCTACTGGCATAGTTTTTTAAGAGAAAACAAGAAAGCACCTGGCAATGGACAGCTCTGACTGTGATATTCTTTTTGGATGGACTACTACTTCAGCAGGTTTTGATTACTAGTTTTGAATTAGAATCAGTGTGTGAGAGAATGACTAATCTTGCAGTTATTTCTCTGGGTATTTGTAGCCAAGAGCAGTAGCATATGCTAAAAGAAGTACGTAGCAGGAATGGTGTCTACTACAGTTTGGGTTCGCTTTTTTCAGAAGCAGCGAGGCTTGCATTAAACTGTTTACCATTCAGTGTTGTACCTGGTTTCTGCTAAAGATTTCCCAAACAGGATAGAAACTAGTGTATCTTTACTTCTCCTGAGCTGTTCCCTTGCTTCCTGGAACTTGCAATTGGATAATCCTTCGACAATTTCGTCAGGTTTGAAAGAAAAACATGAAACAAAAATACAGCCTTTTGCCAGGAAATTTTTACTTTCTGATTTGGGGCAAGACTGTCCCTTCTCCAGAGCTGGTCAAGCACTACCTGACCAAAACACTGGTTGGAAATAAGGTGGTGTCGTTGATGTTGGTTTTAGTTTTAGATGTGATGTGGATTGTACTATTAACCTACCTTCCAGAGTACAAAGTTTATCTTACTGATTGGTGAGCTTATCACTTAGGATTTGCTGAGACTTACATGGCTAATGTAATCCACTGCGTACGATACCTCCTTCCGTTCTTTGATACTTGTCCAGTAAGTTGGGAGGTGGAAGTTGCTGAACAGCACCAAGTATCTAAGAATTCAGACCAAACTGAAATCTCGTATAGAAGGAGGAGTCAATACTTGAATGTTAAGGTAACTGTTATTTAGTTAGGTAAGATACTGGCATCTCTGCGACACTGGCACTTGTCCTAAGCAAGTTGTAGTAGCTTCAGTTTAATAAAAATGTCAGATTTGGGCTCTGCTTGATAGAGGATTTTTAATGTACTGCGTTCTTGCTTATCATGTGATCTCTTTATGTCTAGATACAGAGCTGCAGTGGTCTGTGGCAGTACTAGTTACTTACCAAATGGATGCTGTCATCAGGACACAGTAGCCTACTTAGGTTTCAGTTTTGTACAAAGAGGGAAGATCTGTTAGTGACTGAAGGCTAGCACAGGTGATAGATTAATTAACATGCATCTGCTTTTTTGTAGATTCAGAATCTGAAAAATCATTAAGTGGGTTTGAAACAACAGCAGCCTACTCATTAGAGGACAGCATGGATTCAAAAGATACAATAACTTCAAGCGTGTCTGAAGAAAAGGTTTGTGGCAGTGGGGAGTCGCTGTCTAACGGAATCAAAAAACACAGGTAGGATGTTGCCCATTGTTAAGTTGTTATAATATGCATTAATAGTGAGTAAAGGACCACAGGAATCTCTTAAAAGGTAACTGTGAAAACTTCTAAAACTTTGTTAGGGATGATCAACAAGTAGTTGGTTGTGGTATGATTTTATAAAGGATATTTTCCAAAGGCTACTGTGCTCCTTTGCATCTTGTTTCTTGATGATTGAATCTGAATAAGTAAAAATAAAATATAATGTACTATGTAAAAATGGACACACTTGTTTTTTAATAGAGCTTACTGAAATCTATGTGGATTTTAGTTCCTTCATGTATCTTTAATGATGTATGCTTCCTATTGCCTCTTTAATTTCCAGTCATTTGATCCTTCTGTTGGTATCAGGAATGAATGAAAAATATTGCTAGACTGGCATCAGAAACTCAAGTGTGAACAAAGGGAGTCTTATTTGAAAAGTCTCATCCATGTTTTATGTGCTTATTTTGTGTTGTCAAATGATCCATTTTTGTTTGTTTCCTTGCCGATAAAGGAGGACAATAGGTCTGGAGTTAATGAGATGTAATGGACACCACTATTCTCCAGTTTCGGTGAAAGGGCATTATAATGTTTGTGCTACAGATCAAGCCAGACTTCAATGTGTTTCAGAAAGACTACTTTGGAAGTGTTTTGGATGTGCAGAATGATGATGGGGACACCAGATTTCTGTAAAAACAGGAAATTAATATTTAATTTTCCAGAGGCAAGCAAGACGTGCTTTAATTACTTGGTATCTTAAATAGTTAAATTGCAGTGACTGTCAAAGTATGTGGTAATGTCAGAGACCTGATGTTTTAAGGTTTAACCTCTGCATGTATATCCCTCCCATACTAGGTAAAGACTAAGGCAAATGAGGGCTTGGGTGGAGTCACGGCGTGGTTTGGGAAGGTAACATAAAGCAGCTGACTAAGCGTGTTGCTCTGCACTCTTGTGCTGTTAGCAATGTGTTATTTATGGCCTTGGCTAAGTGCCTTTCCTAATTAGAGCAGGAAGTTCAGGGGTAGGAGGGAAGCACTAGGTGAAGGTGGACATCCGAATTGCATTCATTGCCTTGGAAACAACGAGGAGAAAGGAGGCAATTCACGTTCGACATGAAAATGATGATGTATGTTCACATGCATTGTCTTGAAGAGTTTTAACAGGAATTGATCTTCCGTTTACTATAAAGAAGAAATAACTTGAAGTTGTCATAACACTGCACTATGCTGTCAAAACTGTAGGGAGCAGGTGACTGGAGGAGCATTTAAGATCTGCTGGTTTTATAAAGGGGAAGGAAAAGTAATAAACAAGTACCTCTGCGTAAGTTGTTTCTCTCAGTTGTGTGTCTTTTAGTAATAAAGAGAGCATAGGATGTTGGACTAAAATGAGTGCGTAAGTTGGCTGGCTAATAATTTATTGCTAAAGAAAAGTGGAAACATCTGTTTTGCATATAGATAAGAAAGTATGGTCATATTTTATGTGACTTAAATGGCTATAGAGCACATTCTAGCTTGAGCTGTAATGTCAAGATTTTTTTACCTGTCGCCTTGGTGACACATTGGGATTTGTCCACAAATACATTGATGCAAATTGTTTCTCCCCAGAGCTCAGCCAATTTAAATTTTACCTCCAAGAGAAACTTCTCAGGGGATGGGAGTTGTGTGGTGTTTTCTAGCCTTGTTTCTGAGGCTCTTGGTGGCAGCCATGTTTGGCCTGGTACGGGATCTGTTTGATGTGACTTCAGAACTGTGTTACCTACCTGGAGCTGCTGGCTCCAGTTTGTGCCTGTCTTGGTTTTGGGGCTAGTTAGAGGGCATGTGGTTAAAAACACATCACCTGTGATGCCACCTGCGTCCTTTTCAGAGCAGAAACCTTAACTTCTTGATGGTGTGCAGTGAGGGGATCAGAATGTTTTGATAGCACTTAATTCCATCCTTACACCTTTGGGTTTGCTATAACTTTTTTAACTTCTACTTGTGTTAACCACATGGAAAGAAGTCACTTAGAGAATAGACCAGATTAATTTCTTTTGCTTAAAATCTTGATACCTTCCTGTAGTTCCTCAGATGAATAGAGGATCTGCAGCTGCATTTGGGTTGCACATGAGAGTACCTAACACTGTTTAGCAGTCAATATAAATAAGACTATTTCCTGCCTTCATCTAGAAAACCTGACCTATAATCTGCCTCTCTTATTTGAGTGGTGAGGTTTTTGCACAGGGCGGTGGAGGTCAGTTTTGGATGGGGAAGTGTGTATGTGTGTGTGTTTTGGTTTTGGAGGTGTAGGAATAAATCTGTTGGTTCCAAGGAATTAAACTGTTGGGATGTACATGTAAAGATAGGTGAAGCCAGTGCCACTTAGTCTTACTCTGATTTTTTTTAGATGTAGTTTCTATCCTACTGATTGTTCATAGTGTTTTGAGAGTGGACTTAATTTTTGAAAACTTTTTGAGAGAGGATTTGAGAGATAGTACATTAAATAATCTGGAAGCATTCAAATCACTTCTTTTTTAAGAGGGAAATTTTTAACCTGAGCCAAACTTTAAAAAAAAACAAAACAAAACAACAATAAAAAAAACCAACACCCCCCCAATAAAACGCAAACCAAAAAAAAAAAGCCAAAACAAACAAACAAAACCCCCAGAAACCCTTGCACAAAAATGTTCTGTAATATCTGCCAACATATAACATCCACTTGTTGCTGCTGTTTCCCTCTTATTGCTGAGTTTTTGTAGTCAGCAACGCAGTCAGAATGCAAACATGTTTGTGATTAGCTTTTTGGAAGCCAGGAGGTTATTTGGTCAGGTTTACATGAAGAGCAAGCTGACCATGCTTTTTTTCACATCATGTCTCCTTCCCCACAACATTGCTGCAGTAGTTGATCTACTATAGATAATGCTTTGGACAAATGTTTTTGTTTAAGTGAATGATCTTAAATACATCTTATCTGTTCTATTGCACAGAAATTCCAGCAGATGTTTTTTGTCACTTAAAGCTAAAATTAACTTCCTGAGTTGTTTCTAAAATTGACATCTGGAAGGAAATTTTTGCATTCACAAACCTTTCCCTTAATCACAGGGAGTATGTCAAGGTTAGTAGGCCTCAAGTCTTGGCTGCCTGTCATTTTTCCACGTCCTTACTTGTCCCTGGGATCTTTCTTGGTGGCTTAAAACTGCTTTGTTTCTTCAGTATGTGTGTTGCATGGAGAAAAGAACTGACTCCCATATCAAGTTTGGCTGATACAGATAAAAAATATGGATGAATGGCTGAAACTGAATGCCAACTTTCAAGTAATTAAACAAATTGAACGGAGGGACAGGTTAACTTTAATGAAAAGGTACGTTTTAATATGTAAGAAAAGCAATCCCTATGTATACTTCAGCAAGCTAGAGGCATGTGTGTTTTACATGCAGAAGGGCTTACTTAAATACAAACACCTGCTCTGCTAACTGCCTTCATTAAAGAATACACAGAAAAAATAAGCACTACAAATGAAGATAAGACTGAATACTTGGTAGACACTGTCCTCTCCTGGACATTTGTATCAAAGCATCCACAGAAGTATTTTATACTTAATATTATTCAAGATGATCTGTTTCACTAAATATTTTTTTATCAGTGGAAAATCAGAATAGGGAGTGAGTGATACCATGTTAGTTAAAATAAATCTCCCTGCCAGCTCATCCCCTGCATGGGAGCTGAGTAAAACGAGTCAGTCTTGGTCTACTAGCTACTTGCTAACAAAACATAGTTTGGTACCCTGAGGAGTTCAGGCATGTGACTAGGTTTTCGATTGGGTGGGGCTTGTTGTATTAAGGAGCATTTTTTGGGGTTGTTCTTTCTGAAAACCGAAGCATCAGCCCTGGTAAAGGTGTTTCAGTAGCAGGTAAGTATGGGAGGTAACACAGCAAGTAGGGCTACTGAAACTAACAACTTAGCCTGAATACTGTTTGGTTTTTTTTTTTACACACCCCCCCACACCCCGGCAATGTTTCTGTTTATCAAAAAAGTGGGGTGGAGGAGGCAGCTACAGGCTGTTCACACTCTCTAAAAAAGATATTGCTTTAGCTTTTAGCTTTTTTGAGGGGGAGATAAGACCTTCTTGGTTAGGAGGGCAACATGATCATTTAGACAGTTAACTAAACTTTGAAACTCAAATAGTTCCTGCAGTTTGAGTGAGCTGTAGGTAATTCTTTATTGAAAAATTTTCTCATTGGTAATAGCTTAATGATCCAAACATGAATTTTAGTGTTTTTGTGGACAAAGGGCTTTGATCTATATTAATGCCTTTCTATGAGTAAATTGGATTAACAGTTGAGCTGGTTAGTAGCAGTAACAAAACTGAACAAAATCTGTGGCTGATTTCTCGTGAAGCTGAGAAGTACAGGCTATATTACATAACCTAAGTGTTGGTCTTGAAAGTATGTTTTAAGACTTGCCTCAGGATATGTCAGCCCTGTGTAGAACATACTGCTGTGTTTTCTGTTAATGATGCTGCTTTTTCTGTTGTTCCTGAGGGCTGATTTTAATATAGGCAATAAATGTCATGGCCCTTTATTGTCAGTATACAGGTGACTAGCAAAAAAAACCCCCACTGTCTAACCCTCAAATCTGTTCCAACATAGTGAACATACATATGTACCTACTTGGAAAGAACTTACTTTTTCTCACAAAGACAGAACTAAATATCTTAACGGTGCCACTGTGAAAACACTGGTCTGATAACTGACGTAGAAATCCTCTTCCACTGCTCTTATGCAAAATGAAGGGAATGGTTGTGGTTCTGGAGAAGTTCAGGTTTCTGTGCAGGTAAAACAGTTTAAGTGCCTCAAAGCAGCACCATCGTTCCCCCTTGTTTTTTAATTTAAAAATTGGAAAACTGTTACTTTCAAAAAAGAGTATTTAGTATTCTTAGTCATGGTTAGTAATGGAAAACTTTTCTTACTTCTGCTTTCTTCCCTGTTCCTTTCCACAGAACAAGCTTGCCATCTCCGATGTTTTCCAGAAATGACTTCAGTATCTGGAGTATCTTAAGAAAATGCATTGGAATGGTAGGTAATCAGAAAGCTATGATAAAAGATGTGAAGTGATTGTTTCATTTGAAGCCCAAATGAAAATTTGTTGGGGAGAGGGATTTATTTTTTTTCTTTTTAAATTTGCTGCTTGAGCTTTACTTGCTTTCACAACTCGAGAAGGTAGGGCTTGGTCAGAGCAATATTCCTTCAGGAAAAGCATTTTTTCTTGATTTTAACCCTTAAAGTACTTTGTGGTAGCAAAATTTTTTTACTTTGTGAAAAAACAAACCCAAAAAACCAACTACTTAAATTTTGCTCTTCTCCCTTCCCCTTAGTATCTCTGTCTTTCCCCCTTCCCCATGGTGTTACTGGCCAGATGGTGACCAGATCAGAGGTTAGCTGGTTGGCACCTAATCTGCTTCCAGCTAAGGGTGAATTGAGAAGAGTTCTCTCCATTAGATCCTGCAATAGGCTGAAAGTACTTACTGCTGATAAACTTCTGTCAGCCTGTAACAGTAGCCTACAAAAGGGAATGTGTGTGTGTTTAGGTGCTGTTGTTTTCTCCTCCTCCCCTTGCTGTAGTTAGAAACAGCACCAAGCAATGAGATGTGGAAATGCTGGGGAATGCCTGTATCAGCACTTCCAAGTCTCCCGAGTTGCTGTGAAGCACCTGAGGCTTCTCACAGTTGCTTTAGCGGAAAAGCGTTATAACTTTAAAATACAAGGAACAGACTGAAAGCCTGTCTTGCATAAGGTGCGTGCAGGAAAAAAATGCATAAACGTCTTAATTCTGCTTTGTAGAAATTGCTGCAGGAAAGTTGCAGTTGGGGGAGGGGTGGAACTTGGAGTGGATTGTACTGAAGTGTCTGCCAAAGCTGTTAGTGCCAGATGCTGCTATTATGGTTAAGAACAGTGCTGTTTACTGCGCACGTTGCTAGTGGTCATACTATATGCTTTTAATTTGCTACCGGAGGCAGTTTAAAACATGGCTATGCTGTGCATTCAGAGGGCAGGGCATGCTTTTTAAAAATGGGAAAGAGAATAAACAGCATCAAAACTGTAGGACTTCTTTTAAATTTTTATTCCTGTTACAAAAATTCCTTTTTTCTTCAGAGTACAGAATCCCTGTTTTTATTCCTGTGCCACCATGTTTCCCTGTCTTTTCTCATCCTCCTCCCCCCACCTGCCTCCAAAAAAGATAATATGTTTAAGTAATTAGATGGCCTATATCTATTTTAAGAGTAATAAATAACTTAGTCTTTCAAAGGGTCCTTAATACTTCATTCCATTGTTTCATCTCCCTTCTTAATGCGTTTGTTGATAGGAAGTTTGTTTGTTTGGTGTTTGGTTTTCTTTTTGTTTTACAGGTAGCCTTAACGTCCACATAGATAGGCTTATCAAGCTCATAAGGGATGTACAGGGTTTCTTTCTTTTTAGCATTAGCGGAGCCAGGTCAAGCACATTGCATTAGCACTAAGAGCATAATTTATTTTTGTAATAAGCCAATTACACTTGGGTTACTGCAGGTCAGTGTATCTAATCATTTGGTTTTTAACAAAAATTTCATTTGTGCATCAGGAGTTGTCAAAGATCACAATGCCGGTTATATTCAATGAGCCACTGAGCTTTCTGCAGCGACTTACAGAGTATATGGAGCATACATACCTCATCCACAAAGCCAGCTCACTTTCCAGCACAACTGAGCGAATGCAGGTACTTCGGGTGTGGTAATTTGTGCTAGTTCTTGATGAATGCGTTGGGATTTTTTTCTTCATAGATAGTCTCATTGTAGGAGGAACTGCTGTAATTTGCTGCATGTTGGATTCTCTTATTCATTAACCAATTCTGCTTATCTATGAAAATGTTTTGCTTTTCCTGAGGTTTGCTTTTTTAGCCTTTTGGTGAAAACTGTTTATTCCCCTGCCTTGCAAGCAGAACTTTGCTAAGCATTTTCAGAAGAATCATTATGTAATACCATGACTGCTGTCGATACTTGATAAAGACTAAAATCCAGGAGATTAACTGTGTACTCTTACTCTTTTGAATAGTGTGTTGCTGCATTTGCTGTGTCTGCTGTAGCCTCACAGTGGGAACGTACAGGGAAGCCGTTCAACCCGTTGCTTGGAGAGACATATGAGTTGATCAGGTAATGAACAGAAGATGCACTGAAGAGTGGAGAGTGGTATTCTGTGTAACTGATGTTTCGTTAGACTTGCCAGGTGGCTTGCAGACTGCTCTTCAGCTTGTAAGATTCCACCCGTTCTCCTAGCAGCTGCTGGAGGTGCTTGCAATGCATGTTGGTGTTTCCCTTCCAGTGAAGGGAAACTACTTAACTTTTCAACTTGGAGAAGGCAGATGAAATTTGCCAGGCTTAAAAGCAAGTTTTATTTACAAAAATGATTTTTTTTTCTGAAGCCTTCTGAATAAAAAGATGCATGGTACATAAAGGAGGTATTAGAATTGTAATATTCATTATATGAGTGTCCAGAATACAAATAGGCAATGTTAGTCTGTTAGTGTGCAGCTGCACTTAGGGCAAATTTTCCTCTCGGGTGAGGTTTTGGCCTATGTTTATGCAAAAGTTTAAGAAAGAGGTCACTATCAAAAGTAAATATACTGGATGATCAGATTTGGTAGTTCTTGTTACCTTTTTTTACCTTTTTACATTATGTCCTCAGTTATTTAGAATGAGGATGTTCTACGATTAGTTGATGTGTCTTTTTGTATTATCCTAGGGTTTTAACTAACTCTTGCACTGAGTGCAGCAACTATGCATGGGTCCAATCATCTGTTTCACCCTGGGGAAAAGAACTGCAACTTCACTACACTTGATATGTAGATACATGCTTTTGGTTATCTTTATTTTGCAGAGATGATCTTGGATTTAGACTTCTCTCAGAGCAAGTTAGCCATCATCCACCAATCAGTGCTTTCTATGCTGAAGGTTTAAATAATGATTTTGTGTTTCATGGATCAATTTATCCTAAGCTCAAATTCTGGGGCAAGAGTGTGGAAGCAGAACCAAAAGGCACAATGACTTTGGAGCTTCTTGAGTAAGTTGATAAGTAGTAATTGCACAGGCACAGTGGCCACATCCATGATGATTAGTGTGCATTAGAGTCTCATGGCTTAGGAATGGACATGTCTAATACCCACATCCTAATGTTTGATGGCAGATTGCTTTGTGGGGAGGAAGGGATCAGAAGATGAAAGGAACTGCCATCATTTCTCCTAATATACTGCATACTAATAGTAGCAGTAGTTGGGGCTTGTGTCTCTATGTTCTGCAGATGCCTGGATGTCAGTCCTACTAAGACGAGCACGCTTGAGTCCTGTTGGCTTTCCTCATGTCATTCAGTGCTAACAGTGGCTGCACTGAAGTTGCTGTTTTAAGGAATTGATAAAATCAGTAGCAATAGATTAATAAATTTCTTGGGTTTCCTGACTTATTGCCATGTCTATTTCAAGACTTGGTGTGATTTATAGATGATGGCTTGTTGCGGGAGTGACATCTGGTACAAAGATATAGTATTTTTATTTTTATTCCTCTCCCTTAGACACAGTGAAGCCTACACATGGACAAATCCTACGTGCTGTGTGCATAACATTATTGTGGGCAAACTTTGGATTGAGCAGTATGGAAACGTGGAAATAACTAACCATAAGTAAGTTAAGAGTGCGAGTGCTTTCACTTTCTGCAAGTTTGAAGAGGAAAAGCATTTGGAAGTAATTAGTGCCCTCTTTTTCTGCCTTTAGAACTGGTGAAAAGTGTGTACTGAGCTTCAAGCCCTGCGGCCTCTTTGGGAAGGAGTTGCACAAAGTTGAAGGCTACATTCAGGATAAAAGGTAACAGCTTCATTCCTAATAGGAGACAAATGGCTGCCCACTGTTTCTGATGGGACCTGTAGAACTGAATGCCTTTAACATAGTCTGTCAAGAGTGTGAACCTGCAACAGCAAGGTTATGAATTGTGCAGTGCCAATAATGGAGTTTTAAGAGTTGCTCTCAAAAGTTCTTCTTTCAAATATTTTTGTCTGAAATGATGAAACAAATTTCTTAAAGGTCCTTTGTAAACTTAGTCTTTTTTCTGACAGCAAAAAGAAACTCTGTGCGCTGTATGGGAAGTGGACTGAATGTTTGTACAGTGTTGACCCAGCTACATTTGAAGCTTACAAAAAAAATGACAAGAAAAGTGCAGAAGAGAAGAAAAGCAGTAAACAGGTATTAATCATGTAAAGAGGTGGTATCTCATAAAGCATGATAAGACAGCTAAATATTTTAGTAGCCTTTAAAAGTGTTAAGATTTCTTTTCACTAAGCCTCCCTTTCCTAGTAGGATACAGAACAGATTGGATGAGTACAAGCATTAAGGGATCAAATGCTTTCTCTCTCAAGTATTTGCATTCAAACTTCCCAAAACTTGGAGTGATCTAAATACTGGCTGGTTCATTAACTGCCTCTTCCTCCCAAGTCACACAGAGGAAATAGCATATCCATTAGTTGGACCATGGTTCTGATCGTATATGATAACATTTATATTCTAATAGAAAGATTTGGACTCCTAGAGGCAGGGGAGACTGTTTCTTATCTTGATAGAAGATCATATTTTCCAGTTTTTACAAGGATTTTTGTACTGCTTTCTATTAAGTTTTCACAACCATAGAAATGCTTGTGCTTTTTATCTCCACAACTGCATTTTTACTTTTCTTCTGGAAAAACCCTCATTTTTAATTCTTCCAGAATTCTGGTCAGCAATATGCTTTTGTTTTTAAGGTGAATGGTGATGGTCACAACGTACAACTTGATGAAGAACAACTACTCAGATAATAGCTTAAAACAGGGATTGTTCCCCTTTGGTGACTGAAGCCGGATTTTCTGTTGGTTTAAGTGTTGGTAGTTTTTATACTTAAGAAAAAGAGACAGAGAACTCTGAAAGCAGTTGTTCCTGTGCAGGTTCACATTGTTGCTGTATCTGAGATTGTTCCAGTGCTTGTCATCAGGAGAGTGCTAAAGCGCTGGGGATTACTGCTTCTCTTTGAGTCTGACCCTGTGAGCTCTAGGGAGAAAGAGCAAAGAAATACGTACCCTGTGTCTTTGTTCAGCTACCACTTTGCATTTTCCAACGGTGCTTAAGATGAGATGATCCTTGCTTTTCTCTTCAAAATAAAGCATCCTATTGCACAAAGCTCAAGCTGTAATGTTGCTCTGACTCTAGAAAAGCATGCTTTTTCTACTCATTTAACAGAACTCGTTCTGTGTAGAAAACTGAAAGCTTTGTAATGCACGCTATGAATCGGATAGTCTTTGTTGAGTATGTGTTCCCACTGCCCCCTTGTGTTTGAGGAATTGATATTGTTTATGGGTTTTGAGCATCTAGGTGAGCCAAGTCTCATCTATAGTGTCTGGGTATGTTTTGTCCCTTCATGGTAGTAAAGGATTCATTCAGGCATGAAAGTACATGGTCTTTCAAACTTCTCCTAATTAGAATTTTCAGATTTTTTTAGTTATTTTCCAGCTGTTCGTTCATTCTGCGTTGCTACTAATGAAGAATCACTTCTGTTTCCCTTTAGGGGACCTGCTTGGATGCAAATCCTTTTGCAAATTGCCCCAGATTTTCACCTGAATCCCTTTGATTTTTGTAGGGATAAAACTTAAGGAAAAACAGTTTTGCAGGGAGCTAGACAAGCCTTCATGTATGCAAAGGTGATATTTTACCAACATCAGAAGAGTTGTAGTAGTCCTGGGGTTAGACCAGGATGATCCTGCTCTGAATAAACTAGAGCCTTTTTTAATCAAGGTGAAGCTTTTCATGCAGAATTTTCAGTGCAAATACATGGAAGAACATAACGTAAGGCAACAGCAACTGCCCTCATATGTGCCTCATTTTCAGACACTAGACGTGTTGCTTTGGCAAAGTCTGTTACTACCCTCCTAGCAATATACTGAGAGGCTGAGTAGCGCTGAGCACATAATATGGATCGTTGTGGCAAGAAAACATGAAGACCCACTTTTTATCTAGTTCTTTGTAATTCTTATACCATTTTTAAGATAATGTATCCAACAAGGCACAAATTGCAGTGTGTATTGTAGCCTTTCTATAAAAGTTGGTTTGGAGCTTGACAGTCTGGTGTTGAAGTGTCTTTGTTTTGATATGAGGATATCTTTCTGATCTGCTCTGCTTCAGATTCCCAGTTTCTGCAAGATTTATCAGTGTACTTTTAAAGGACAGAATGACAGGTTGCCAACACAGTTCAGATGTAGTCAGCTAAAAGCCCTGGTTATCTTCCATTATAATAGCTGAAGGACTGAACCTGGTCTGCATGTTGTTCTGGTCACTTTGCAACCTGTTCATTATTAAAAGCACTGTACCCAAGTGCTCCACAGTGAAACAGAATCCTGTTCTTTCTAATTTTCTTGGAGGCATTACACATGAATCATCTGAGAGGACAAATGAGTGCAGTTTGGGTACTGGCTTTTTTTGCACTGAAACATCAGTCTCTATTATCTGACGCAGTCATCAGAGAGCAAATCTTATTAGCAGGAGGATTAAAGCTGTTGGCATCTAGCCAAAGTATTTAAAGCATTAGTTGCCTTTAAGTTCAGCTTTACTCTCCAGTGGTCTCTGAAACGTGTTGCTGTTTTTAGCTGTGATAGTGACACCAAGTTTTCTTGGGAGAGCCTTATTCATCATCTAGCTGGCTTTAGTTCAGTATTGTAACATATGCTTATGTGGCGGAATTAATGTCAGCAGCATTGGACCCCAGCTGCTTTAAAGCTATGCATAAAAAGGGTGGTGGTTTAGAACTAGTTCAAGTCACATATACACTGTGACCACCAGTTATTCTTTACTGCCCTGGTAACCCTGGATGGAGTTTTTCCCTTTCTAGGAAAACCATTTCACAGTGCTGTGGCTGCAGCTGCCTCAGGCCATACATGTCAGCCTTCATGGGACACCCTTCCCAGAAGAAGTGGCTAATCTAGGATATTCATTTAACGTTTGCAGTTTTCCATTTCAGTGGTGTAGTGGTCAATGGAAAGGAAGGTTCCTCTGAGCAAAGAGCAGTAGCAAAGGGCTTTCTGTTGTGCACAGACTGACGACAGCCATTTGCATTATGTGCTGGCATTTCTTTGATGTGGAAGGATAAGGAATGTGACTTCTATTCTTCAACTATAATGAAGCAGTAATGGAGTTAAATATCAGGCTTGTGTTTGAGGAAATGGGACATCTCTGTGGTGGAAGTACTGACATTTCTTAACACTTGAACATCCAGATTATACCTATGAAGATGTTGATGCAAGAAACGGTTAGTAGTCTTCCATTGGAAGGGAATTGGGAGCGTGTATGCTATGTCAATGCTGTTACCTTTCTTGACAAGCGTCTAGAAAATTTCTTTGTTGGTGAAATTATTTACTTTTGGTCAGGGAAATAATTTTATGTAAGTTCCAGTGTTGGAATGAATGGGTATAAATGGTTTATGACTCCACAGAACTCCTTATCTTTGCTTTGTGTGCTGCCTTTAGATGGGCAATACTGAGGAACCAGATGAGATGCCTTTGCCAGATTCTGAGAGTGTGTATGTTATTCCTGGAAGTATTTTGCTATGGAAGATAACTCCAAGACCTCCAAATTCAGCACAGGTCAGCTATGCTTCTGCTTATTGAAAGTGTGTGCTATCCTGTTGTTCTGTATGTTCAGCACAAAGCAAATACATTTGTTGTCTTTTTCATTAACAAGTCTAGATTTGCCTGTTCATTGCAACAATTTCCACTACAATTGTAACTCTATGTGAGGTTGGAGGGATAACTGCCACAGGCATGACTCTAGAGTTAGTGGAATTTCTGTGGAAAATGGGATACTTCATGTAGCTAGCGGTATGGGGGCTTTCCCCACCTCTTCTCTCCACCCTGCTTCCACCACTGAGGCACCTACCTTGTGAGAAATCTCTTCTGAAGGGCTTTATTAGAGGGCAGACACTTCTAGAAGACACTTGCAAAGCCTGTGTAGCATGTGTTGGTATGTGAAGGGCTGTGGAGGTGGAGAGCCAGTGGGTGGAATACAAGAGTATGTGTGCAACTGGAAAGACAAAGAATTGGACCAAGAAAAGGTGCCCTCAGTGGTTAATCAAGGGGGAAATCTCTCTACAGAGATAGTGAAAATACCAGTAGGACTGGAAAGAGAAGATGAGAGAAGTAGTGCACTGAGTAATTGGATGCTGGCCTGCTTAAACAGAAGCACCAAGGATCACCTACACTCTGCCTGACAGTATGGTTTTGCTGGTATCTTGAGTATTCCTATCTTGAGTGATTAAATAATAAAAAAGCACTTGGATGTTTGTTTTTAGACAACAGTTTTCTTGTGCATGAAGACTAGCAGCTAGAGACATCATAAAGTCACCTTTTTATCTTTGTCTCTGAATTTCAGATGTATAATTTTACTAGCTTTGCTATGGCTTTGAATGAGTTGGACAAAGAAATGGAGAGTGTAATTCCCAAAACTGACTGCCGGCTACGACCAGATATCAGAGCCATGGAAAATGGAGAAATAGGTAACTTCAGCTCTTGGCAAAGATGGTTTTATTTTTTTGTTAAAACTGAAGGACTGTAAAAAAAAAAAATAAAAAATCCACATTCAAGTTGTTAGATGAACTGTTAGAGTAAGTAGCTACCCATAAAGATACATTCCTCCATGCTTCAAGACAGTAACTCTTTAATGCAGCCTTCTGCATGTTGTGGTATGCTTCTAGTGAAAGGTATGTCACCCACCTGTACTGGTTCTGGTTGGGATGGAGTTAATTTTCTTCATAGCAGTCCATATATGATGCTGTGTTTTAGATTGGTGCCCAAAGCAGTGTTGATAACACATCAATGTTTTAGCTGTTGCTGAACAACATTTGCACAGTGGTAAGGCCTTCTTTGGTTTTGTGGTGGGCAAGAGGCTGGGAGAGGACACAGCCAGGACAGCTGACCCAAACTGACAAAAGAGATATTCCATACCATATAACATCATGCTCAGCAATAAATTGTGTGTGTCAGGGGTAAGTAGCTGTTGCTTGGAGACTGGCTGGATACAGATCTGCTGATGGAAGGTAGTAAGTGATTGCCTTTGCATCACTTTTTTCTCCTTTTTTTCTTTCCCTTCATGTATTAAACTGTCTTTACCTTGACCCATGAGGTTTTTTTGCTTTTGCTCTTTGATTCTCTCCCCTAATCTGCTGGGGTGGATGGGAGTGAACAAGTGGCTTGTGGGTGCTTAGTTCCTGGCCAGAAACCCACCACACGACCAACTTGCTTATGTTCTTCCATATAAGCAAGAGTCTTAAACTTCATTATGCTATGCTTTTTCTTTAGTTTTAGGACCCCTGCTGTGCTCCATAGTCAAGCCCTATAATTGGAAACTTGTCTAAGGAGACAATCTCTGAGCAAGGAAGTATTTGTGAACTTTCCAGTTTTCTGTTTCCATCAGCCAGATGCAAAATGAATATTTTGATGTCCCAATTCTGAGAAATGCAGTCAAAACTATTTAAGTGAAACTGCAATGCCAAAAAGTATACTTGATGCAAAATTGTTTTTCACTGGGAATTGAACACTTCTGTTGTCCTAAAATAGTGAACTAGAAATACATTATGAGACTTTCGGTGAGTAGAAATAGTGTGCTTTTTAGAAACCTCATAGAGATTGTTACTGTAGATGCCATAGAGTGAAAAGTGTCTTTTAGTCTTCTGACATGTGACTTGGTGGTATTAAATACTTCAATATGGTGTGGAACAGCCTTCCCTGGCCCTGTTTTGCTCCTTTTTCTTTGGAATTTTGTGTATTAAAGCAAGATGGCCAGGTTTGTAGACTAAAAGCATGGGAGCTCTTGCTTTCTCTGGATTGCTAAGTGATTGGGGTAAATCATGACACCACTGATTCAGCTTCACCTATGTAACAATGCAATGACTGTGACTATTTCTGATAAACAGTCTGAGATCTAGGTATTAAAAACAGTGACATGGGCATAATGCAATGCAGTTGTGTGGTTTTGTTTTGTTTTGTTTTTTTTCTCGGATGCCACTTCTTGGAGGCTTTTAGAAGATCAGTGAATTCCCACAACTAGTCTCTCCTGCCTGTACAATTCTTTTGTGGCCATCAGGATGGACATACTTGATTCATAGCATTCCCAGTAATTTGTCTGTCTAAACTTGAAGTGCAAGTAACTATGGTGTTGGCAACAGACCATATTCCTTAACTATACTAATAGCATAAAGTTTGTCTAGCAGATAGACTGGTAATATGCAGTGTGTTAGTAGCTGGTAGGGTAACTGGGAATGGCTGACAGTCTTCCAAAAATTATTCTCTCAACTACTTCCTTCTAAGATGTTTATAAAATGGGTTTTGAGGATTCAAGTATGAAAGAGATCACCTTCCACCTAATCTGCTTCTTGCTCTGACTTACTCTTCAGATGTTCTGACCATCCTTTCTGCCAAACAGAAGCAACTGTTCTGCTTGTTTAGGACCATGACCCGTGCTACCTTAGTGCATTAACAAAAAATGAAGGGATGCTGCAGAGAGACAATGCTTTGTGGTTTGGAAATGAGTATTCCAATCTCCTATTGATCAGGAACTAAGCACTAGTAACAACTTAGCCCAAACCTTAACAAGAAGTAGGTGGCCAGACTTCTGAAATAAATCCAGCGTATCTTAATCAGTTTCCCTACTGAAATAAATTTGAGGTATGCCATCTCCCCTAGCTGACATTTGCTGTCATGTAAACACGTTTTCAGGGTCCTCAGGCCATGGATAAACATGTATTTAGTAGTCTTAAAGACTGGAGTTCCATTGGCTGATCTTGTTCCACAGGTGGCCTGGCTTTGCAGTTAGACTAAACCAGAAGCTCTTCTGTGTTATGTAGAATGTTTTTTAAATGGACAACTTTTACTATTTCCCTTATTTGCTGGGTCAGCTAGACTAATGTCCCTGTCTTATATTACACTTTAACATCATCTGTATTTTTATTTGTGTATTTTTATTCCTTCAAGATCTAGCTAGTGAAGAAAAGAAGAGGCTAGAAGAAAAACAAAGGACCGCCCGCAAAAATCGTTCAAAGTCAGAGGAAGACTGGAAGACGAGGTTAGTGTGCTTGCCTCTGTGTGTGTTTGTGTAGTTATATAAAAGGTTTTGAACATTGAGGTTAACTGCCAGTCCACGCCGGTAGTGTGCAGTGTTGTGTGAGCATGAAGAACTGACATCATCAGGTTTGGTAATGCCACTGCTGTATTTGCAGACTTCGTCCCTGCAGGCTATAGTGCTTCCAGAGAGAAGTGTCAGGCTTGGTCTCAGTTCCTTCCCTCTCACTGCTTGCAAACCCATATGCAAATACAAACTGTGTTGTCTTTTCTGAGCACCTCTTGGTTGTGACACAAAGATGATGTTGCCACTGATAGCTGCTTGTAAGGACTGTTGTTGCTGATTAATTTGTAATTGCCTCAGATTTGCACGCTTGGCCAAAGAGAGGAGGAAATGCTTTCTCCAGTGAATTTGGTAGCTTATTGCCCATGACTTCTCAGATCAGTTTCTGTGTGCTGGCAATACTGTATTCCCACTGCATAGTTATTCTCAAAGTTGGAGAAATTACTTTTTCACCTAGATATCCAAGTCATTTTTTTCCTTTCTGAGAGGGTTAACAACTACAAAAGTTAGAATAGCTAAGGGAAAGGTTAGCTTACAAGGGATCTGCCAGGATATTTTGGTTTGGTTTGGTTTGTTGGGTTTTTTTTACTGTAAGATGAGAGGGGTCACTTGGGAGCTCTTACACACAAGCTAAGTAGAAACCATGAAAACATGACCAAATGAAACTAGTTTGACCAGACAAGGTCTATTTAAAAGTATGGTAATAAATTGGCAGTCTCTTCACGGAAAAAAAATGTGGTAGGACTAAACTCTCTAAAAGTAAGCAAGCTTCATCTCTTCCCTATTAACTAGCTGTTAATACACCCAGACACTGCGGATTAAATATCTTTAAAATGTCTGTTTGTAACTATAAATCACTTTTTTCTTTTTTTTCAAATGAAGTCACCCATCATCCCAGAGTCCCAGGTTTGGACATGTCTGCCTTTGTCTTTTTCCTGTGCCTGCTTTCCTGAAGTGTTTGGGTTGGTTTGCCCCGAGACTGGTGGAAAATAACATCTTTATAATGCTTCCAAGTAAACGTGTTAAGTGCTGGACAGCCTTGCACCTCCGTCTTCCTTTCCTGAATTCAGAGTGGTTCTAGCTCTCACCAAGTGTTTCAAAGCAAGGGATAGTTATATTGTGTTCTTCCAGGTGCCTGAAGTAGCTTAAGGTACAGCTCAAAGCACCTGAGGTTGGTATTGGAAATTGGGGAATTCCCAGGGGAAAACTCAGAGCAGTGTTTTTTGGGGTGTATAATTAGCACAGACACCATTCAGAAGGTTCTTCAGTTGCTGTTGTGCAGGTACTGTAGATCTGCTCAGCACTTGCCTGGGATATCCTTTATGAACTCTGTTTTCCAGGATGTTTCTAAAGCTTTGTCAGAAAATTCATAGTGTCTGATCTCTTTAGTAGGAACGTCAAGTGTGACTGCCTCCAAAGGATGAACGTAAAGTGTGTAGGTAGAGTTGTGCTTTGGGGGAAAAAATGCATACTGTGAAAGGAAACTCTCCTACCTGTTCCCAGAAGGTCAACTGTAGGTCTTAATCTGCAGCGTAATATAAACTCTGATGTGAACTACTGCAGTTTCCTTGCCGCAGAAAAGCTGGCTTCTTACGTTGTCTAGTAGAGTACTTCCCTCATAAGACAATTCTCGAAAGTGCCTAGTGATGCTTTTTAAATTATTTTTTAATCCACTTTAGAAGTGGGGTCTTGGTGTTTCTGGAGAAGTGATTCATGTTGAACACTGGATGTTTTAGAGACTGACCAGTTGTCTTAAGCCTTGAGTAAAAGACTAGTTCTGTTCTGAAACACAGCAGTGGTCTGTTGCTTTTGATGAAAATTGGTCCCTTCCTTCCCTCATCACTTGCCTGGCTAGATTATCGGATTGCTTTGGGTCTCCTATGTCTCTCAAACTTAGTTTTTCCCATTGCCTTTCCCCTTCCTATTGAAGCAGGTGGTCACTGGAGGAGGGGCATATTGTCCTGACCTGTACAAGTGTTGAAGGCACACTAGTGAGGTATTGGGTGGCAGAATTCCTTGTTCTGAGAGATGAGGTAACTGTGCTTATAGCCCTGCCTCTCAGCAAATGCTTGGCTTTGTGCTCTGGAATGAGCTGCTATTACCTGTGAACGAGGAGGAGAACTAGACACACGTGCAAATGCACAGACCAGTTACTTCAGAATAGCTGGCTCATCCTGTGTGGAGGTGATGCAGTACTGAACCATGTACAGTACCAGGGGTGAAAGACTTTTATCTTCTCTTGACTTCAGTTCACCTAACCAGGACAGCAGGATAACCACTGAAGTGTTCAACTGTTCAGTGTACCACTGTGAACATGGTACAAGGCATTTCTTCTGACATGCATCTCAGATCTTTTGAGCCAAGCAAGACTTGCCTGTTAGCTGCCCTGCTTTGTAACATGACACTGCAATACTGGTGGCCTTTATGCTTTTGCTTTTTAAAGAGATCAAGTCGTATTTGGTCTGAATATGCTTTAATTTCTGTTCTGAAACCTTATGGTATCCTAGAAGGGAAGAGCTGAGTTAAAATGGGCTGCCTTGCACAGGCATGATTTACTTGAGTGTGTTTGCTGCAGTGAGGCATATAAAGGAAAAACTGGCTTTTGTGGCCCGTGAGGAGGTGAAAGGAAGCTGTGGAGGATATTAACCATAGAAACAGCATCTAGCAAGCTGACTTGTGCCATAAACATGGCTTGGCAAAATACAGGAAGAAGTTAAAATGCTAGAGGTCTGGTACTGTGCAGTGCATGCTGTTGAGGCATAAGATTGAGTAATTGGGCCCAAATAGAAAGCGGTGTTCGGCAACAGGCTGCAGGATTGCCAGCAGCGGGTGTGGGAGAGAAGGAAAAAGGACAAGCTTCTGTGCCGTGATGGTTTGACAGGGTTGTGCTCATCACTGGGGGATACTTGCCAGTAGCACGGCCTTGTAAGTGCACCTTACTTTACAGATAGGTAGCCCCCCACCAAAAGGTTATATACACATGCATGTGTAATCTGTGCGTGTGTATACACAGTGCCTCCAGATTAGGTAGGGAGGGGAGAGGGAGGGAAAGAAATAAGGTGCTGAACTTCAGCGTTCCTAGCAACAACCAGTTTAGCAAAAGCTTTCAAGTAATTTAATGCAGATGGAATCAGCTTTCTGGCCATTCAGATTATCCCCCCAGTGCTAACAGTGTAATGTAACACAGTTAAATTGTAATAAGCCAGGACTTTTTCTGCAGCCCGTGGGTGATTCTTCATCCACACTGAGGGTAGCTGCCATACTTGTTCTGAGTTAAGTGCATTGCAAAACAAGGCTTTAAAAAACGAGGGGAAATCTAGATCCTGGGGAAATAATGTTTTTCTGTTTTCAGGACTGCAGTGCTTGTGGTGTTTACGTGTCTTGCAAAAACTGTTACTGCTTATGCATGCCAAAATGATTGTTCACAACTGCTTTGAAGTAAAACTGTACCTGTCCTTTTTTATGTGATAGTCTTGACTTCTTCAAGTGACAGAATACTGGTGTCAGTCTTTTCACTTAGGAGACATTTAAGCAGTGTGGCAAATGGAAAGATCTAGTAATGGAATATGACTTGAAATTCACTTAAGAATTTAAAACCAAGAGGGCTCCTGCAATCACAGTAATTACTTTGAACAGTAAACTGCTGAAGAGGCAGCAAAGCAGTTCTGAACTTCCATAAAAGTATATGTTAATAGCTTCACTAACATGCGATATGTTTCCTTGCAGATGGTTCCACCAAGGCCCCAATCCCTATACTGGTACACAGGACTGGCTTTATTCTGGCAACTACTGGGACAGAAACTACTTTAACTTGCCTGATATTTATTAAAATGCAATAAGGAGCCTGTGACTGATACAAATAAGTCTTAATCTGTTTTAATGTTTTCCCTCATTTTACTTATTTCCTGAAGAAACTGACATGTTATCAAACAGAATATTAAGCATCTCCACAGTAAATCTGGTGGTACATGATCTTCAGTCCCATAGGTAGGGGAGTAATTTTTCTGGGTGATGGTGGGTCCTGTGTGGACAAGGTAAGTCGCCATGGTTTTGAGCTGCCCTGTTTGCTGAATACACCTATATTAGGTTGTGGTGTATGAGGAATAGAACACCTTCAGCTGTTCTGTGAATACTTTCTTTCATAGCTATCATTGGCCCATGTAAAACTGGTTTTATTTATTGTGACATGGGAATGTTTAAAAGCACACACAGTAATTGCAATATTCTGTTCTTAAATGAAGAAGGGTGTGTCACTTTTGTAAAGATGTAATTTTCCATAAAGTGACTTTTCTTTTACTAAAGTAACTCCCTTGATTCCTGAGCTCTGGCTGGAGATTCCAGAATTGTTCCCATCTCTGGAGCATTAATGCAGTTGTTTAAGCTGGTGACATTACTCAGAGGTATTTATTCAACGTTTTGTGCAGTGTGTTTTGAATTTTGCTCTCCTGTTTTGCTACCAGCCTTAACAGTTTAAGGAATTAAGAGCCATTTAAACATGTACAGATTTGAACTGCACACTAGTAACAGGTTTTAAAAGAATCTGTTCCATGCACTAGAAGTTCTGTTTCCCAGTGCCACTGCAAAGAGGCAAGAACCTAATCAGTCCAGGACCTGGTGGAATGTGGTGGGAGGCAAAGGACCTGTGTCTGTACTGTGCAAACTCCTTAGGAGGAAGTCTTGTGCATTTCAAAGATAGTACAGCACCTCAGTGAGGCTTCCTGTGCACAGCTGCTTTTACCCCTTTTCAGTGGGGTGCATTCAATCTTAAAGTGTAAGTTTATATTGAACTGTGTACAGAGCTTCTAGAGGGCAAGCTGCTCTTTGTACAATATTTTAACTGCTGTCTGGAGGTTAGTGTTAATTGAATAATTTAATTGCTACTAAATAAAGGCTTCAAAACTTCTTGCATGTAGTCTAAAGTGAGTGGTGTTTGACAGTGC